TATATCACACAGATATGTAAAATGAAAATGTCTGTGCTGATGGATGCTACAGTTCCAGTCTGAGGGGCTGGTACTGTGGGAGGTGGACAAATAGAGATGAGCTGTTTGAAAGAGGATCTGCAGGCATTTGCAAAGAACATTCTTCAACCATTTGCTAACAGTCGTAGTAGAAATCCACTCATGTCCTGCATATCTGTAGCATACCAGTGAGTGCTGTAAATAACTGGAACAGGACCATAGAATGGAATTCATACAGTGAATGTGATGCCAAGTTATTGGTCAGAAGCTCAATAACCTTTTTTCATTACCGTATTCTAGGACATTTCCTCACCCAGGCGCCAGTTATCTGTACAGCTTTCTGGTGAAACTTAAGCTTGTATGATAAAAAATGGAGATCGAGTTTAAACATGACTGTGACATCCCTTTGTGCCATCAATTACATGCAATATCAAATAGATGAGATGCAAGGATTTCCATCTCTTTCCTTCATGTGTCACAGAAAGACTCTGCCAAGGATGTGTCCCTTACCTTGATCTTGCCTTAGTTCCTGAGATGTTAAGTGTCCTTTGACGAGTCTCTATCTACTGCTCAGGGAGCGAATTTTGTAATTCAGACTTCTTTGCATCTCGTAGTCAGTTCTGAGGGATAGCACATTTCCTTTTATTGTTTTGGTGGTATTTACTCTCTATTTGATAGGTTTTAACAGTTGCTGTTAAAGAAGCCGCAACACGGTTTTACTGGTTGGATCAAAAAGCGTTTGAAATTGAGGAGAGGCTGTTAAACCGCGGTTGTGCGAGTCCTGTCAAGTTAAGATGCTCAGCAGTTGCTGGGGTGGCACAGCTACTTACTGTAAGTCAGTTGGAACCAATCTGTGAATGAGATGTATATTATTCAGATAATGTAGCTGGCCTGCTCATGTGCTACTGACAGAAAAGGTTTACAGACGAGACGCAAATTGTGATTTTAATGGTGCCGTCGCAGTCTTTTCCTAGAGTAAGACAGTCCTTTTTTTGGTATCTTTTCATTTTCTTTTTTTAATCTAGTTTGGCATCTTATAGTGCGCAAGCACAAATACTTTAGCAAAACTAAATAAAATGAACCCCGTGTAAAAAAGCTCTATCCTAAGAGAATGCTGTTGTATTTAATTTATTTACTCAGTCATTCATCCAAATCCAGTGTTTTATAAATCCAAGTATGTTTTGGCATAACCTTTTGGCCAGCCATTCTATATGTAATCATCATGTCATATCAAAAACGCGTTTGAAATATGCAGCACTTATAGGCCTCGAGTGTACAGTAAGATAGATTCAAAATGCGGTGTTCAAGAAAGAAACAGATTTGGAACATGCAGAGGAACACTATTTTCATCAAATCATTGTTGAGCAAAATGTAAAATAGCATTAAAAGTGTCATATAAAGGTGCTATCATGAGGTAGAGATGTGTACTTACCACAGTGCTGTCTTGTAGGACTCTTTCATGGCTAAATAAGTCATTTCATTTTTGTTTAAATCAATGTTGCTATATATTTTTTCAAAAACGGAAATGCTACAGTGACAGCATTGTTCTGTTCGCTGCATTAATTACAACACAACAAGAACAGGAAAAGTATTAATGATAATAGTGTCATATTCTCCTTTTATGTTTCCCTATAATGTTGCCCATTATTAACATCTGACATCTTTTCATCTCTCTTTCTCTGCTATTCTCGCCTATGATGATACCATTGAAGATTTCCATCCCATGAGCTGCTTTTCCAAGTCTATCTTTTTTTATATACAGCAAAGCAAAAAATCTCTTCGCAGGATGATGTTTGATTGAAACCAGGAGTTCCTGTGCCTCTGACTGTCATCGAGTTCACATACTGTCTGGGTCATACAGTCTCGTTATAATTCTCAATCGTACACTCAGGGTATTTTGTTCATTCTGGTCACTCTTTTTTGCACTTTCCCAGATCGTCCATGGCAAAAATAGTTTTTATTTGATTAAACAGCATCAAATGTTTAATGGTGTCCTAGTCCTTGCACCAATGTAACTTGGTTTCTTTTTTCATACTGAAAAGGAAATCTAGTCCTAAGGTGGACTCCATTTATGGGAATTAGTCTGCTTAACATATCAGATATAAAGGTAATGGGCAAGCTATACAGATTGTGCAGATTCTTTTACTTCCTAAGGGAAAGAGTGGTTCCTGACTTTTGGGTCCATCAGTCGATCGCAAACTGTTCCCCTCCTATCAGGCCTAAAACATAAAAGATCTATATTCTGAACGGTTAAGTGCTTAAATCCCAGTCAGTTCCTGTGGGGATTTAAGCGCATGTTGGTAGTCCTTGGTGGTAGAGTTTCCTGAGGCATTATATGAAGTGAGAAAGAGAGAAAAAAGAAAGACATTTTCATTTGGAGAGCTTCCCAGTTTGAGATATTCCTTTAGGTCTGTTATTGGTCTTGATTAGGGCACCTGAATAGATATCTACATGGAATTTTGCTCCGGTGAGGAAGAGTCCTAATAGTGGATCTGAGCCATGTACACCATAATTTAAAAGTTTAGCAAGTTTCTATAGTATGACAGACATGGGTATATAGCATTATACAACACTGACTCAATTATATTCAAGGCAATTTGCTAAGTCAAAATGAATACTTTTTGGTACTTTTTCTTGAAATCATCATAAAATTATTTTGTGAAACCAATATTAGTTCAAAATGCTTTGTCCTGTGTTACGCTAATCAGTCATCTCCAGTGTTTCATAAGCTTATTTTTTTAACAATCAACTGTAAACTGACATCCTTCCAATATGGTTTTTCCAGGTAAAAAAATTGATTGGTTTGGCAGTTTTTGAAAACTGTAAAGGGTACCGTAGTCTCTTTTTCAGAATTTATGGGAAAAAGAAATAATTATTTCTACCTTAGGAAGCAAAGGCATGCAATACTTCCCTAGTTTTAATACTCAAACCCCCTTTTCATAGTCAGATGGTAAAAATACACTTTCCAGTTGTAAATCTTAAAACACGTTTTCAAGGCCTGGCTTAATGTTTTGTGTTTTTATTGGAACAGTGCAACAACTGTGTTTTTAAATGTGTGCCTGGACAAACAGAAACAAATTGATGTACTTTAAAACGTGGTGTTTAGCATTCATTTTGGGGACTAATTTTATTTATGTTGCCACTTATTAAATGTTATTGCTTCCTTGTGCAAGATCCAGAAACAAGTAATAAGTTACTGGTGGATGTTGCACCTCACTATAACTCTATGAACCCAGAGTATTCATGCAGCCTTCTCCAGGAGGAAAAAGGTCTTGCAGAAGCAGGTTTTTGTGAATGGTGTCACAAAAGGGTCCCATTCGTTGTTCAGACAGAAAAGGTTGTAAGGCCCACAATAATCAACAAGATGATATAGACGGATAACGTAATTAAGAAAAAGACCTAGGAACAATTTGACAAAACTGTAGCCACAAGTGGAAAGAGCTTGGAGGTCTCCAGCTGAGATGAAATATATAACTTTAAGACAATCTGGGCACCATTTCTGACTCCTCCAATTTAGGTTTGCTTCAGATTCTCTGTTAACTGGTCAGAAGGATCAACCTTGATGCGAATTTCTTTCAGATGATAAATAAAAGAAAAGATACGAATTTAAACCCATTTCCTCCTACAGTGAATCACAGTTCTCCTTTGTAACCAAGGCTGGTTGCCAGACCCTATTCTTTATTTTGTGCGTGATTGAATCAGTTATGATTATGTTCACTCACATTCAAAACAGTTAAAAACACTTAGCACTGAACAGATGTTCCTCACCTGTGAACGTAGGAGATCACGAAGAGTTTTTCCTTCATGAACAGTGCAGAGTTGAAGTAAACTGGTCTCTCCTTATCTGATCTTTACAAATAACCTGCATTTAGGTGACTATTAATCCAGTCATTTGTTTTAGATTAATTTGCTTTTCTTATAAAAGGCAGCTGGGAGGAGGGTAGAAGTGTTCCTCAAGGAATTAAAGATTTTGTAGAGTACAATTAGTAACAGCCGGAACTAATAACAGACTTCTTCCTAGAAAGCACAGTTTTAGGCTACAACATTCCACAGCTCAACACGGCCTCTGGCCTCTCATCCAGACTTGCACTCTGCTGTTGTGTGCTCTGACACTCATCTCTGTTGTGTTGTTATCCTATTGGAAGACTCAGACACAGCTGAAACAACTGAACTCTGTCTTTGAAAACACAGGATGGGGCTTATGAACCTGCTGTTGTTCTCTGATGTGGGCACCAGGCCAGTGTTGTTGGTACTCGGGGGGGCAGCAGCAGTCTAGTCTTTCTGTTCACTTCATTGGCCTGGCACTTCTTTCTGTGAGACACATGGGATTCACTGATGTATAAACTTCATGTGGAAGTAATTATTTTGACATCTCTCTTAGTCATTAGCAGTTTGGTTTCTTTTTATATTATTTTTGTATCAGCTTGTATTATTGCCTGCATCTCCATAATGAAGACAGGGATGTGAGAGGAGTGTACCTACATAAAAATAAAACTGTCTACGTTGTTATTAATTCATGTTTGTGATAAGAAAATCTTCCATCTTCCATCCAATCTTCCATATTCTGCAGAAAATATCAATTAGAGGACTGCAGTGTGAATTTCTGATAATGTGCACCAAAATCAACTAACTCAGCGTCCAAAGGCAATATAGACTCCACAGTTGGCGGTGATACAACTGTGATGATAATATGGTGAAGATTGCATGGATAACATTCTCACTATTCCTTTAGTTTAACAGGGTCCACAATGCAAAGTGGAAAACATTAGCTTTAATGGCCATGGCTTGAGTATTCCCTGGCTGTATCTGATCTTTAAAAAGAAAGGACCAAAAACGTCCAGCAACAGCAACAGTTACCAAAAACACACACATGGAGGAATTCTTGACGAACATGTGGAAAGCATTTTAATTAGAAATAGTGGTATGATTGCACATCAGAACTATGTATAAATGCTCTAATTGTGTGTACACTTGTGTTTCAGGGATGTGGAGTCTGGATCAGTGTACACGTATCAAGTGCTGTCTGTTTCGAGGACAGCGGAGAGTGAGCCCTCCCCAGCACTCACCCATCAGCTGGGTTCAGCCTACTGTGGAGACGGGCATATCCAGAGGTAAATTGACAGCACTGCCATGCTTCAGTTTCAGATTCATTTGGAAGGCGTTGCGTCTTCAAAAGCGTCACAAAACGTTATAGCTTTTCATGGGGATAGTTTCAGGAAATAAACCAGGGAAGTAATTGCTGGGGCTTGAAACTAAAATAGAAGTTTGGTAGATAGAATAGATAGAATATTTCGTTTTCCTTAGTAATTTTATAGGATATGCAATGCAGGCTAATTGTTCTTCATTGTATTTCAGGCACATGGGCGAAGAGTGTGACGACACGAACTCTGTAAATGGGGATGGCTGCAACAGCAAGTGTAAAAAGGAGCTCTTTTTCAACTGTGTCGGTATGTCACTCCCTACTGCTCTTAAGTTTTAGTGTGGATTTAGATGCGTACGGCTGTGACTGTTTCACTACAGTAGATCGGAAAGGAGAACGATCTATAGAGGCTTCTGATTCGGCTTCACATATATTCATAGTACGCCACCATGCACAACTGCTTTACCCTTACCAATGTGGCTTAGCCATTCAGTGACCAATGAAATGTGTATATTTTTCATTTTAGGTATATGAATATTAATGTAGTTCAGGTGGGTAGCTGCATCAGCATGCGCAGGCTGCAAAGGAGCAAGTAATAGGTTTATTCCATGCTGAAAAAAAGAAGAAAGAAAATACAACATTTCGGCCGTGGAGCCTTCTTCAGGTGTGCCTTCTTCACACACCTGAAGAAGGCTCCAAGGCCAAAACGTTATGTTTTCTTTATTCTTTTTTTCAGCATGGAATAAACCTATTACTTGTTCCTGTGAATATGAATTACCTCTTGTTAATTTATCCGAGAATTCATAATGGTTTTAAAATACACCAGTGATTCTGGCAAGATCCGTATGAAATGGATACCAGCCATGAAACTGCAGCTATACCATGCTGATGAGCTGTAATAAGGGCAGAACAGCCATCCATAGTGTTCCGCTTTGACTTATGTAGAATAAGAAGTCTCTGTAGAAGGTTGTGTTTGTGCAAACGTTAGAGCCAATTAATTTTCCTCTTTCTCATGATTCAGAAAAATGCCTGCTCTTAAAACACACCGTAACCCTGAATTACATTTCATGTCACATAGAAGCCAGATTCAGAAAAGAAGACAGTATTTTAATATTCTGACTGTGCCCAGCACAATTTTGTTAAAAAATATTCTGGCTAAAATTATGCTTTTAAGTAATTTCCTACAGTATATTAGAAAGGTATATAGAAAGAGGCTGGTGGGGTGATCCAGCCTGGAGCTTAAGTGAAACATACTTTCTCAGAGGTAAAATGCAAGTGCCCTTGAATAAATGATTAGTTTAGGGTCTAAAGTAAAATGTTTGGAACAAAAGGAGAAGTCCCTGAGGGTCAGGCTTTGGAAACATAATTTGGCTTTTGTGTGTGAGCAGAGGAGAAGCCTCAGGTATTGGCAGGAGCTTCTGTGAATGTAGACTGCATCATACTGACAGCCATGATATTCTTTCTAATATCCGTTGTGGTGTTTTGATAACATTGTTAATAGGTGAGACAGATTCCTGTAGCTCCCCTTAAAGTTATAGCCAAAGACAGTGCAATCATGGTTCATCAGATTCACACTATTTCAGTAATATGCTATTGCTAGCTTGTTGGGCAGCTATCCTGCACTTCCACCCCTGTGCTTCAGGATATTGCTGGACATGGGGGTTGAAGAAAGAGCTTTTGGTCCCCGTGAGTATAATTAATTCCAGGAATTTGATATACGAAAGTGATCTAAACTTTTTTTACTTGGATTATTTTAAGTATGGGATTCCACTTGGTTTTCATCATTATTGTTAATAATGTACAGTACATAGAAGTGTTATTGTTAGAAGAGCCACCCCTTTCAGGTTACTAGTTAACTTTGAAATGCATTCCCTAAGTGGTGGTGGGGTAGAATTGGGGTTACTGGGCCAAGACTGTGTCAACTTTCCATAAACAGCAATTCCTGTGATATCTTCTAACCAGTGACATCAATCAAAGACCTGTCACTTTTCCTATCAGGCTCAGGGGTCGGGTGTCAGAAAAGCATGTTTTCAAATTTCATTGTGTCTTGAGCACGTGCAGGAGTCGATGCCAGAACTGTGTATAATGTATATATATAGTTTTTACATAAATTATAAACAATATGAGTGCCACCTCTGTTTCTCCACAGTCAAACAACAAAGCCACATATTATACAGTACCAAAAGCAAAATGTACCTATTTTAATTTGGCTAGTTCCTAATCAATGTAGCTAATATTTTGACAATAAAAAGTAATTGTAACATTTAAATATTTTTTTTAAGAATGAAAGGAACTGTGTAGTCCTATTTGAGGACAGAATCACACTAATATTTTGTGAAAACTAGATGATTTGAGTTGCTCAAAGAATCGGAAAGCAACTAGAAACCATATCATTGTTTCATGAGGTTTCTATCACATTACTATTGATTTTTTTTCTTTATCAGAGGTATCAGTGTAATTGTTTACCATTTAGTAATTTCGGTTGCTTGTAAGACTAAAATGTATTTTTTTTAGAAAAGAAACCAGCTTCTTTTTCCTTCAATAGTCCAGTTGAGAATATTAGCATAGTTCTCCATTTTCTTGTTAGCTTCATTATTTAAATCATTTTTAATTTTCTTCAAGAACAGCAATGTAGAACAAGGAGCAGGACCAGAAAATAGGAGATGTAAGAATCTTAGCCTTTGAAGCTAAGTTCATGAATGAATATTCTAATAGCTGAATGCTTGTTTTCTTCCGACCTCAGACACCTGTGGAAACCTCCAGTCTTTTGATGATTTGTCATCAAAGTCCCATATGGCTCTAATTGGCAGCAATTTCATTGAGCAAATCAGAACACATTCTATAAAGGAACTTATAACTGAATGATTTCAGCCTTGAGAGAAGCAAAGAACGCTGAATAAATTAAATGCTTATATTCTGTCTCCCCTTTGAAAACATCTTCAATGAGGATTCTCAGGTCACTCCTTTTCTTAGGAAATCTTAAATCCTAGAGTTCTTTGCAGGCCGATTTCTCTGGCCTCCAACTACAGAAAGGAGGGGTGACGAGGGGTCACACTCGTCTGGCAGAACCGACACTGCTGCTGGAATGCAGACTGCAGTTTGGCTTGGACTAATTTCACTCAGTGCTGTGGTCACCTGCCCCAGAACACAGAGTGACTCATTATCCTAAATTTGAGCTACTTAAAGGGATTCCAAATTCATCTTAATGCAGTTCTTAAACACTTCAAACAAGAGTGCTGTACATTTTTCACTTGTCAGAAAATATATGCGCAGAAATTCAGAACACTCATTGATTTGATGCATGTGGCTAAAAAAAACAAAGCATTTCAATTTTAAAACGTCGTATTAGCTGGATTATGTGTGATCGCATTATGCACAATGGTCATGCACTTGCTCTGTTTTAGCAAGGAAGCTAGTACATGAGTGAAGAACGACTAGGAAGCCCTCAAGTTTAAACTGTGTACAGTTATTCTATGGTGAAAACTACACCATGAATTTCTCTGTTCATGGTGCACTGCTACTGCAGAAAGTAAGGACGGTTTGTGAACTTTACTCTCCAGATGACCTATTGTATGTGGTGAGATCATTATGACATAAACCAAAGGGAAGAAACATACAGTACCTTATCTCATCACTTTTCTTGAGGGAGATATGGATGGGATGGGATGGGGAATCTTTCTAAAACTGTCAAGCAGTAAACACAGAATCTCAGAATCTCAGAAGTTTTTTGTGTTAGAAATAACTGTATATTATTTTACATATTTTGGATAATATATACAATAATTTATAACATGTTTAATATTTTATATTGTTACATTTTACCTTTATATTTATGTTTTACTTTCAAATACTTGTTGATACTTGTTTCAGTCCAAAAATAGTAGTTAAAAGAACAATTCTTTCAACATTTACGTTGTGTAGAATAGATCTACTTTTCTAGTAGAATATGAGGGGAGTTCTTAAATATTTTCTACTTTAAAAAAACACTGAAAACATAAAATGACAAAAGATCAGATTTTGATGGATTGAGTGCCTTCTTCAAAATTCACCTGGATTAACACTGAAAAAAAACCCATCTGGTATTTAAACATGAGCAAAAATCAGGAAAGCCTATACTCATTACTTTTAAGCTTATCTCATTCAGCCCTGTGTTCTTCTGTTTAGTCATACAGTACACTGTCATAAGCTAAAGCACATTGTCAAAAAAGCAGAAATAATTATCTTCCAAGAATGTTATAGTGTTCATTGTTTTTACTGGCACCCTAACATTTTAAGTTGTTGCGTGCAATCACAATCTTTAGGCACTGTTGAAAGTTTTTCATTTTTTAAAATTCTGATGAAAAGCTGTCCTGACTTTTTCCTGTTATTTTCTTATAACTCGTATTTATCATTAGCATTGATTTAGTTTCCATGGCATGTACCGGTATGATCATCTTTTTTTTTGTAGTAACCACACTTCAAAAATCAGAAGCTTACGAAAATCCCAAACTTGTTTGGAAACATCTTGAAAAATTTAGCGGATAATGAAGAAATGTGCTTTCCAATCTTTTTTTTTTCCTCCCATTGTGAAGAAAAACATTTTATTGTTGTGGCTTTTTCGAAAGCTGTCATGGGTTTGGGCAGCAGGAGGTTTCGTGCATTAATCGGCTACGTTGTATATTCCATGAGACAAAGTGGAAAGGGAATGGTGAGTGATATAGTATATGAAAATGTGTCGAGCTCCTAGACAGTGCGATACAAGAGACATTGTGTCTTAACTAGAGGGCGATGGAGAGACTAGGTCCTGTTCTGCCAATTTCAGCTTTAGTAGGCCACTGGTGATCAGATCCAAAAGAGAACTGGGAACATATTTTTTATCCTGGCTGCTCCCCTGCAAGAGGACCCAGCATGTTCACCCATTAAAATTCATTCCAGATCCCTGTAGAGCCCCTCATTAAATAACATAGAAGCTAGACTGTAGTAAAAGCACTGTAAAAAGCGATGTCATTCACCACATAGCACAGTTTTGCTTTTAGATATTTAGATATGAGCAAAGCAAACTGCTGCCCTCTTTTATTTAAGAGATCCCGAATTTCCACAGTTATGGAAATCTTGCAAAGAATTGTGCTTATCACTTTTGAAGTTGTTCACATTTGCTCAAAGCCCAAATTTGATTAAATAAACGTTTCTTTTTGAGGCACAGAAAAAAGAATGAAATAGAAGAAATTAAATTAAACTAAAACGATTTTGTCAGTGCAAACATTTCCAGTAATTCATTCATATAAGCTCCTGACAGATTATATCAGAGCAGGCTTGTTTACTCTACCT